GGGCGTTGAGCGCTTTGCTCTTGGAGTAATCCTTCATTAACCAAGGTGCATTTCTTCGTATATTTTCAGTACATAATCAAACATATCAAAAAATACTATTAGAGTTGATAGTTCCAAACTACTGTTTGTGAAATCTTTTAATATTGTCGGATTAATTAGACTGACGATAATATTCATCATTAAAAACGGAATTAAAAGCTTGCAAAATTGAAGGAAACCTTTAAAAAGGTCTGTGATTTCTCAAACACTCTCTTTGACGAAATTTTAATTTTGTTATTCCAAAATTATATATTTGGATGCAATGTGTTGTCATTGGGTATTATTGTTTCAGATCGGTCGGCGTGAAGTCGGGTGTCGCCTTGAAGTTGGTTTCCAACGCTTCAGGTAAGTTGACTGCTATGCGGTGACAAGAGACATAACTTTTTATTTATTAGTTAAACACTTTCGACTTCTTTCAGTCTCTATTCCGTCTTTTATGTAGTCGCCATTTTCCTTCCTTATCTACGCGTTAGAATACTGTGAAGATGTTTTCTGAAATTCTTAAATTTGCTTACTCTTCTAGTTTTTTTAGTTGCGTGAATTTTTGTTTTATGAAAATTGTTTTTATGATTGAAAAAATAATTCAATCTTTAGTGAGTATTGCAACCCCACGACACACTAAAGATTGGATTCTGAAATAAGAGATACATAAAGTATAATTAGAACGGTTTCCCCTCGTGGTCGGTGGTGGTTGAATTATTCATTTCATCTTCATTATCCATCCATCCATCAAAACCATTCATCCCAGGTGTGGCCAAAAAGGCTAGGTACTGAGGTTTTTTTATAAAGAATCCAATTATATCTAGAGTGTAATTCATCCTTGCATAATTTCCCGGCTAAGCCAAGTTCCAGTTCTACAGGCCACCCTGTCAGGAATACCGCACCAGAAGAAGAGGCAGAGGAGACTCCTAATGCGAGCCTTTACGGAACGGAGGGTGCTTTCCAGTGCCTCGGATGATTTCTTAATTCGGAGGAAGAGTGGATGGTGAGGGGCGGGAGGGCTGCGGGGGCGGGCCCCGATGGCAGGTTCGAGAGTAATCGGCGGCCTGATGAACCGTCGCGTCTTGGGCCGCACCGTAATGGCAGACGAGACCTGTCTTCCGACGACGGACCCATTATTCCTCGTTGCCCCCTCCTTCCGGTACAGGTCACGTTGGAGTATTTATCAACGCGCAGAAACAAATGGTGCTGTTAACGTAATCCTTTGCGTGAGACCACCAGCATATCCAAGCGGACGCCGCGCTGCGCCGCCCCACAGAAATCTGGAGTCCTGACACGACTTAGGATGTGGGACACCTTCACTCGTTACGCAGTGGCGTAGTGAGGAGTTCGAGCCGCCCGGACCGTCGTCCTCTCGACAAATAAAAGAACACTTAGGGAATATCCACGAATTACGAAACTCGTGATGAATTGGTAGGAGATTTTTGCAGACGTTAATGCATTTCGTTGTTTTTTTAATACATTAATTCATCCATGGCAGCTTCCTCATCTCCTTTGTCTATCCCCTGACTTACGTCACTGTTGTCGGCTGGTGAATTATCTCTTTTCAGGAATAATTGTACGAATGAATTCCTCCCCTTTCCAAAGTTTTGTTTTGCATATTTTAGTTATCGAAAACAATATATTGTGGTTGTTTTGTTTATAAAAATAGAAAAATAATGTCGCCCCCTTCTTTTGAAAGTACGATCAAAATTGTTTTTGACTGAAACGTGAAACGGCTACGTCATTTTCTCGAGCACGGACAGTCTCTCTGATTTTGATCATTTTGCGGTATCTCCAAGTAGGCTATATTATAAGATTCTCGTAACGTTTTCATCAGCAGAAAAGTCTATTTCGGGGAAAAGTACCGATCCAAATTGAAGGCATTTTTAACCAATTCAATTGTTTCAGGAAAGGTAAAGGTATTTTATATAATGGAATTATAATTGGCAAAAAAAGTGTCCGGAAACAGAATTGTTTGTTTGTACTACATTTAATGCTATACTTTAATACAATAAACTACATTTTAAAATAGACTACGATGTCGCTAAAGCTGGAATACGATTTTTGAAGGCCCAAGTGTTTGTTCTATTCTACCATCAAAAATCTCCAAGCAGCTACTTCAAAACCAGAATAGATTACGCGTTAAGAAGTAAGTTGATAAAAATCATCAACTTTCTTGATTTGGATTTATTTTCGTCAAAGAACAGTTAAGTTGTGTAATGTATAGGGGAAAAGTTCCGTTTTGTATTCAAGTCCCTCCCACGGTCTGGGCTTTTGTTACAAAACCATTCATATTTTATTCGAAATAATTTTTAAGTCTTACAGGTTTTGAGATTTCTTAATATGCCTTTGCTATGCCATTGCATTATCATTTCAAGAAAGTATTGTACGAATTTGGAATCTATTTGCTGACTTTTTACTTTCTCGCCTTACTTCGAGAGAGAAAATAAAAACGCAGCTAATTGCCGGAAATCGGAGATTTTTCAACAGAGAAAAAAACTTTTTGCCCGGCCTAGGGAACGAAAAAGTTGATACTTTTTATCCCTGTATGTAGTAAATTACTTCCTTTAACACGGAGTGTACTCAGGATCAGTGTTTTGTGGGGCCTTGATACTGAAAAATCTATTGACGGCAATCGATTGTTTTTTGTTTGTGTTTTAATTTTTTTACTTAATGTCGCATCAACTTCTAAGTCATTAGCGACCACTATTGCTTGTAACGGTATGGTAACTGTTACGAGCACGAGGATGAGACGATATGATGATGATGATGATGATGATAGGGGGTGAAAGGATGAACACAATACAACCATGCCCGAGGCGGGACTCAAATCCGCTATCCTTCGGTCCGAGATCGCTACGGTACTACGGCCACCGGATTGGCGATAGATCGTTTGTCTGTCCGTCTGTCAACCCTATCGCCTGAACCGTTCGAACGATTTTTGCTACAATTGATATTCCCCGAGCGATCTGGACGAACTCGAAGGCCTGCAAGTTTGAAACGGATTTTTTTATTTATTCTGAATTTTGGGTGTACTTTATATAAAGCCACAACTACATTTTCAAAATGTTTTAAATAAATTTTCACCTTGGATAGCAAAAATCGTGCAGATCTCATTTCCGTTAAAATCCCTGATTTACAGCCCTCTCCTTACATCTTACAGCCCCCTTCCAGATTTTTAAAAGGAAGTGCAGCCCACTCCCTCTGAACTCGAGTCCACTGCTACTTGGTGCTTATTCACATTTTCCCATTCTTGTTGCAATGTGATAGTTCTCATCTCACTTTCCATTAATGTCTGCAGTCCTTAATGAAATGCTTCCACAACTTAAATTTTAAAAATAATTTTTCTCTAAAGGTTATATTTGAATTTTTATCTCCTTGTAGGGTGATTGTTGATGCATGCTATCAGTGAAGTAAAATAATATACAAAGTGAAGTAATATTGCTTCCAAAAGTCAATGATTATTTAAAATAATTCATTCTGTCATCTTTTTTCTTTGTTTCTCTTCTATCTACAATATTGTTTTCCATTAACGTTCTGAAATATCCATAAATTCATTCTTTTTACTTTACTGCAGGTGACTGCTGACATTGGCAGATGGTTATGGCCCATTTGGCTGCATTCTCTATAGTCCTAAAGGTATGTTTCTTTTTCTCTAAATTCCTTGGTTCAATTTAAGATAATAATTTTAAATACGTAATTCATGTGTATGTTATATGTACTAGTGTGGATATTTTTGTAATTGCATTACTAAATTATTCTAGGAGAAAGGGTACAGAGGTTATACCTGCATATGAGGTGAGGGCTGATCATGCTTGGCATGGAAACATGGCAGCCCAATTCGCGAGCCCAGCCCTTCATTCCGAAACGTGGGCTGGGCCTGTACAATCCTCAAACATTAATTGGACGACCATTAGGGCGTCGCCGAATTCTAACAAAGCTCTTCCAGGTAAAATTTTCAGTTGTTTATTAAATAAAATATGTTGTTTTAAATGTGTTGTTTTTATTTTAATCTCATTTTTTTTAAATATAAAATGCTGTAGAGTTCGTGTAATAATTAGTTTCAAAGTTTTAATAATTGAATACATAAGTTGTTAAAATTATTTTGCAACAAAAATAAAATTTGATACTCCAGTAGTAAATAGTAATGACAACATTAATGTGATTATACTATATGGGCACTTTAGATTTTTAGATTTATTCAGTCAAACAAACAGTAAAAACTGTATGTGACATAGGGGTAAAATTATCTGCCCACGTTTTCTTGAGTTCCAGGATCCCTTCCGGTCATTTTAACTATAAATAGTTGAAAGATGAGTAAAAGTTTAACATAAATAAATAAAAATAAATTTTAAAAATCACAAGATTAGCAATATTTGAAAAATAGTAATTTTCATTTCTGAGTTGTAGAAAACTTATTTGCATTGGTACATGAATTGCAAGTATGTTTTTTCTGCATTGGTAACAAAATAACAACTCACCCTTACCTCTACTCTTACCATTAAAAGCAAAAGGAGAGTTCAACAAAACATGTGCATAGTGAAAGCATTTACGTCTAGAAGCAAAACAAGGGGCCATCTCAGCATTTGCTCAATGGATAAGGGAAACTGGACAAATACCTGATTGAGATGGGGGTCACTTTTCAGTGAAGTATTAATATACAACATTTATAAGAGTTCTTCCCAGTTAACTGATAAGTTTTTATAATGCCAATAAACTCCAAGAAAGAGAAGTTATGTGTGTGCAAAAATATACTTATTTGTTTTTAGTATTGAAATATTTTTTTCTTTTGGTACATTTTATTGTTCTATGTTAATATAGGGACTCCTGGTAGTGGTGCTCCTTATAACTATTGGAATCAATGTTATGTTCATTTTGGACACCAGTCGACGCTTACAAGAAGAGGCATTGCATGCAGGTAAAATTAGTTTAACTACTAAACATGCATTTGGTATTTTCATTTCAAATTAAATATGATCATGAAAAACTCATGAGATCATACCTAACATTGAAACCTACAACAATAACTTATAATAATAATTATAAAAGCACTCAGGTGATGGAACAATCTAAAGAAGACTCACCTTTGCTGAAGATGATAAAAGCATTCTAATTTACATCCCTTTATGCTGTATACAGTTATTTAACTAATACACATTTTCAGTTCATTTTGTTTTAAATTCTATTTTGACTAAATTTACATTTTCTACTTCACAATTTTTTTGCTGTAACATCTACACCAACATACAGAGAGTAAAGGATCTTCTAAATTCAATTCTTCAGTTCTAGTTGTTAGAGGTTCATTTCATATTTTCAAACATTGGTGTCAATTCAGAATCCTCATTAATCATCGCAAACTGGATTAAATAAATCTCTTTTTCTTTTGTGCTATGTAAAGCCTTGAAGAGGTCAATGACCAATTTATGAAACATTGGCTTATACAATTAAATAACCTATTAACACTATAACTAAGTTTAATTTTTTACTGAATGATTTGGGTCCACAAGGTCTTCACTCCTTCAATCATAACTATTGAGATCTGACAGCACTATTTATTTTTAATACAGATGAACCTGGTTAAGTGGGATTCCAGGAGACAAAAAATTTTCTTGCATAAAGAGGAGTCTCACACTTCCAATTTCTCACTTATTCAAATTCAAAAAGCGTTTGTTTCAGATTGGGGCCATCCATAATTACATACCTCTCCCCCCTTTAACACATGCTTAAACCTGTCTAAATAATTACGTAACTTTTGGAACAAGACACTAATGTTACATACAATTATGTAACTTTTGGAACAACCCCATTCACAATTAATAAAACTCAAATGTACAGCAGAAACAAGTTGTAGTAATTGTATTTGTGTTGTATTTCAAAATGTATGATAATTAAAGAAAAATGTCAATGTGGACTGCATATAACAATAAGATTGGAGACAATTTTTTAGGAAGGAAGGATGCATAGGCAAGAATATTTCTGATAACAAGTGTGCAAAGCCATCATGGATGGGCCTGGGCCTATTGCTGCGCCAATTCAAGTGGATTCTAGAATAAACTACAGATCAGTTTTGAATGTTTTCTTCGTAATCTAATAGATTCAATCAACATATCATTAATGAAAAAGTGTTTCTATTTATTGTAACAATTTATGTATACATCATAACTTCTAATTTATTATATTTTAAATTTAATTTGTTAATATGTTAATGTTTTATATGACTTATTAAAAGGAAATATTTCAGCAAATATTGAAAAATATTACAAAAATCAGCATTTAGTAACACTAAATTATGACCCTCCCTACCCCTACATAACGCAGTGTAACTTTGCCTCCAAACCCTTTCCATTCTCCCTCATTATGTAATTTATGGTTGACCCCTTACAGAGCAACTCATTTATGCAGATTACAATCACATTTATTTCAGTTGTGTAGGTCAATATCCAACAAAAATGTATTACTTTTACATGAAACTTTATTTATAAACTACATGTTATGAATTACATTTTATTATAACATGTAACTGCAAGTAAAAAATAAAATAAAAGACTAGATTTTGTCACATTAAATTCTTTACACAATTCTTGAAGTGTCCTTTATCATATTCACATTGTGCATTAAATTTTTCATTCACTGGATATGAATTGAACTTTCACTTCAACATTTGTAATGTGCTTACAGTGGTTTGATGTTCTTTGTGCACATTCTTCCCATTAGTCATCAAAGCAATTTTCAGTTAGTACTTGTTAATAAAAATTGAAAAACATTTAGAAACATACAAAAATCTGGAAAATGCAATCTTCCAGAGAAACCAAACTCCTATAAAAATATAGGGACTTCACAATTATTCTCATTAACAGTAGTTTCCCACTTCTCCATGTTTTACTGAATTAAGGATTTACAATATTGATCATGGATGAAAATTTCAATTTACCATAGAAGTACTAAATTGTGAAAATTTTAAAATTTCAATTTGCTAAGAGATCTTTGATCAGTGTCTTCTTAAAGATTATATCCAATCAATGAATCTACAATCATTCACTTTTTACATAAAGAATGTATTTTAGGTGACACTGGAGAACTTGTCGATGGAGAAAGTCGAAGGAACAGTTTAAGGCTTCAAGAGAGTCAGCCAAAATCTCTGGCTATTGAAGTATTATCCAGTCAATCCAAAGTTTCTGTTTCAGTTGATGGCACGACTGTAAGTATTTATAATTGAAAACATGGTACTAAGTAATTATGACAGTATTGGAAATTATTTAAATACATGCAATTCATTTATATAAATGAATGACAGTTGCATTAATCATTTTTGAACAGAAGATTGAAAAAGGTTCTTTATTTTGTAGATATTGGAAGATGGAGAAGAACATAAAGGTCGTGGCATCCATGTTCTCGTTCTAAATCAAGCTAGTGGGAGTGTAATGGCTCAGAGAACATTTGACACCTACTCTCCTCATGAAGATGAAGCAATGGCTCTCTTCTTAAACATGGTGTCTGATGGTCGTATTATTGTATTTGCAATTAAGGTAAACATATATTTTTACTACAGTTATTACAGAAACTACTATTGGGTACTATTGGATGTATAGATGTCTCTTGCAATGGACTCTATTATGTTTGGGGAAACGTGACAAGGAATGTATACCCCCATGGAATTTTTGTTTTAAGGCATGATCGTTTTATATTTTTGATTTATTGAAGTTAACAAGATGCACACTAGAATAGAAAAACCAAAATTATGTCACAACTATTCATGAATTCAATAATATACTCTGATAAACTTAGAAAGCAAGGCCAGTAGTGGAGATCATGATCAGCAGCAGTCAGGGAAGTGGAGTTTGGAAACAATGCGCTGATGCTGCTCCTCCTTGTTAGACATTAAAATGCAAGCTCGTCAGGGCAACCCTCTATCCACTCACTGGTTCAGAAGAATCTACTCAATATTCCTTGCCTACAGATTTTGGGTATAATCCCCTAGAAGTTAAAGCAATTTATAAAAATAATAATAATAAAAAGAAAGAAAAACACATTTTGTTAAAAAGAAAATGAAAATAAAAAATGCTCAAATTTTTTTCTTTGGAAGTCATTTATAGAACTAAGAAATAAAATGAGCCCTTGTGAAGCCCATAGATCACAGTTCTTGATTCAAAGTGCTTTATTTTGTTCTCTCTCTGGCAAGGTAACACAACCATTTGCTTTCTGTCTGAGAGATATAATCTGATTCAGTTGTGTGAAATTCCTCAAATTCTGTAAGATTCTAATTTTGACAACATAATTCTGTAATCTATTGTTTCAAAGTCTTTTGACATATCAAGGAATAGACCTAGAGATATATTTCTTTTTGTTCAAATATCATGAGTATTTCATTTTCTAAAGTAAAAAGGGCAATTTGGTTCATCAATTTTCTCTGAAACCATATTGTTAGTCAGTGATAATATTATTATTGAACTTTTCGACCTCTCATAGGACAGTTTTTCTCACTTTTGAAATGTGATTGTTCAAGTTCTTTAACTTATGTGTCCTAGTCTCTTTTATCAAGTTTTGTTTTTAGTGAGATGGTATTTGTTTTAAGAGTGAGTTACACTTGCAAATTATTAAAATATATATTATTTTTACCGTTATATTATAAAATTTCTGATTATTAATTTAGTTTCTTGAACATTATTCTGAGCACTTGTTTATTATAAAAATAAATGTTTCAGAGAGTGCATGTGATTAGCATTATGATTGATAAGCCTTATTATAGGTGGTGATAGTGTATCTGTGTTTTGTTGTAAGATTATTTGCTTCTTTATATAAAATATACTGTTATAAATTATAATATAACCAGAATACATAATTTCTTGTATTTATTAAAGGTTTTTAAAAGTTATTTCTTTGTGTCTGATCCTGTGTATATAAAATTGACAATCTTGTACCCTACAATAATTTATTTTATATGTGTAGGATGAGGGAACATTCCAAATGAAACAGCCTGCCCGAGACTTGCTAAAGCGCCTTGGTTCAAAACGTGCGCAGGCAATAGGTTGGCGAGATATGTGGGCCATGGTTACACAGAAAGGATCAAAGTTGTTTGGAGAATCTTACAGTAAGAGTACTGAATTTAATACATGGGGAGCACCAGTAGTACTCAGAACAGAAGTGCCCTTAGTGCCTATTGAAGGTAATGGAGTCAGTATATTAATATTTTGTACTTTTTTGTGGTCCATGAACTAACGTTTTTTAACTTTTTTCGTTTAAATTAGAACAAATTCCTTTATAAGTGAATGTGTTCAAAATTATTCTTACTTGTTTCTGATGACTTTTTGTCCACCAGAGGGTTGTAAAATTCTTATTATTTTTACCATTACATTATAAAATTTGTGATTATTAATTTACTTTCTTGAACATTATTTTGAGCACTTATTTATTATAGAAATAAATGTTTCAGAGAGTGAATGTGATTGGCCTGATACTGAAGAGAATAAAAGAAGAAGAGAATTTTGTAACCATATAGAGGGCTATGGTAGTGTTTGCAGCTGTAATGATCCTGCACCATTAATTTTTAATCCAGAACCTGTAAGTAAAGTTCAAATTTGAGGCCATAATTTAGAATCTTCATTGATTGCCAATTGAAACTATTATCAGAGTAATAGTGTGAGTCATAATTCTTCTTCACCTCTGATATTACTTTCAGTGATGATATAGATGATTCTTCTTATTCTTTGAACTTAAGTATCAGTTCTGGTTTTGTTAACTTATCTTCATAGGATAGAAAAACATGTACTTTACTTGAATGGGTATTGGTATTATGTAGCTGTACCATGTGCTCCACATTGTTATTTACTAGTGGTCTTTAATATTTTTTTATCATGTGGAATTAATCATTTTTCTGCTGACACTAATGGATTGATGTATTTCCAATACTCTGTGTAGGTTATCAACAATCAAGTTCATGATGTTCCGGTTGCAATTATAGCCAGTAATAGACCACATTATTTGTACAGGTAATCTCATTGTTACTTTTATGCCATTACAAAGTAAGTTTTATTAAGAAACAAACTTTTTTTTTTTAATTTTTTCAATGTTTGGTCCCCTGAAAGTTTTATTGAAATGAGGCTTTTGGAATATCATAGAAGAGCATTATATTTTTTTAATGAAAATTTTATGGCGAAAATGGAGCTGCTTGTTGAAAAATTTCATTTGAAGATTTTTCAAAATATTTGAGTTTTAGCTGACTCAAAAACTTTTGGAATTTTTATGAAAGTTCCTTAGTGACTACTTAAAGATTTTGTTACTACAAATGAAATGAAACTGTGAAATATATCTATAACGTAAATGTTAATGAACTACCAGATCATTTTTTTAAAATATTCCATATGTGTAATTATTGAAAACTTGAAATTTTTAATTAGTATAGTTATGTTATTTAGCATGCATTGTGCTTTACCGTACAAAAAAATTAAAGAAAAAATTTTCAGCCAGTTTAGGAAATCTAATTTTGGAAAAATGCTACTATTTCATTGAAAATAATGCAAAAATGATTAATATATTAAAGAACTGTGCATGAAATAGTTTAAAGCTCTAATGTTCAAGGAAAAAAGGGTGTTAAGGAAAAAAATCTCAAACTTCAATAATGGTGCAGGGCAAGTTTGAACCAAAAAATTGACCTTTTTCAATATTTAAAAATTGAGAAGTTTTAATGAAAATGGAACCTATTCCTATTTATAAGCACGCTTTCCTCTTATTGAGCAAAAAGATTTAAAGAAATCATTTTGAGCAATATTTGAGAAAGTGTTGAAAATGTCCTAAGATCTTCACAAAATACTTCCAAAAATTAAAATATCCATTTCAAATCCACCAGCCATTGAGTCCTGTCATATCAATGAGGGAATATCTATTTGAGGATAAATCCCGTGTTCCATTTAGACTATAATGATTTTTTTAAAGATTAGGGAGAGACCAAAAAAAAAACACATTAGTCAGAATAAGAGACCCTAAATATGTACATATCTAGCAACATTTTGGCATAGTTTTTCCAGCAATAGGTATCTTACTCTGTATCGTATATAATAGAAAGTAAAAATATTATAAGTAAAATTCTTTCTTATGTAAATATTATCTTTCAGAATGTTACGTTCTCTACTTTCTGCACATGGTGCAAATCCTGAAATGATAACAGTATTTATAGATGGTTATTTTGAAGAACCTCTTGAAGTTACAAAATTATTTGGCCTCCGAGGCATCCAACATACTCCAATTGGGGTGAAGAATGCAAGAATATCCCAGCATTACAAGGCTTCACTCACTGCGACATTTAATATATTTCCAAATGCTAAATATGCTATAATTGTTGAAGAAGATTTAGATGTTTCACCAGATTTTTTCAGGTAATTTGTTATTTTGAAAATCATACATTTCTATTGCCTTGTCTTTAGGAGATTTTCAGTTATTATTATAATTAGTTATTATTATTATTATTATTATTATTATTATTACTATTATTATTTTATTTTTTATTGTTATTAACTTTTTTCCAGTTACTTCAGTCAAACCCGTCGCCTTTTAGAAGAAGATGAAACAGTATACTGCATTTCAGCTTGGAATGATCAAGGATATGAACATACTAGTGATGACCCAACTCTTTTATACAGAGTGGAAACAATGCCAGGTTTGGGTTGGATTCTCAAACGTTCCTTATACAAAGAGGAATTGGAGAGTAAATGGCCAACTCCTGAGAAGGTTAGTAAAAATTTTGGTTTCTCAAATTCAAGCGGAGTTATTCTCCTGATGCCAGTCAGTATCTACCAGCAGAGACCAAACTCCACTTTTGGATCATGAACATTGTATATTAAGATTGTATACAGATGACAAAGGGGAAAAAGGTACACTCATAGGAAAAGTTGAAGAAGTTAATTTGCTGAACATGATTTCAATTCGTTAAAAGTGAATCACTTCCCAAGAGATGGGCTTAATGAATTATGAATATATTGACCTGCTCATTATTCAGTTTAGATTCAAGATCATTGAAGTGCACTGCTTCAAAAACAATGATACCAATGTTGTAAGAAATTTGCCTGGAGAGATAAGTTGCATTAGTTGCAAGATCAAAGCATTGTTTAAACCTTTGTGAAGACTTCAACACTATTAATAATACTTCATGAAAAAGATAACATTTACTGGAATATTGTGATTTATGAAAGCATCAATGACATCACATGAAGCAATGAAGAAGTATTAAACAAATGATCTCATCCATAAATATACTCTGAATATTTTAAATGAAACAAATTTTCATCATTGCTGCTTATTTTTGTGGAAGTTAAGATTGTTAAAATAAAATTCAAGACATTTAAGTAAAACTTTGAACAATCGGTCCATGTTTAATTTATATCTCAAAAGTTCTAAAGATAAGTTCTCTCACAAGAAATATTCAAGAGAAATTTGTATTAAAGACAAAGTAAATATCAGATTGATTTTTATGCTAGCTGCACAAAATGTCAATGAAAAACAGAATGGAAATGTAATAAGTTTCTTTCTAATTGAAGTATGAAGAAAGAAGATACAGATGAAAAACAACCAAAAAAAAATCTGTCACAATGCTGTGTTAGTACCTTCATTACAAAAAGTTATATTACACAATGTGAGATATATCACTTACCCCTTTTTTGGTTTAGTTACTACTTACTTACCAACTAGTTTGCTAGTTCAGTTACTACTTACTTACCAACTGGATGAATGACAAATTTTGAATACATATGCATTATATACTAAGATTGCTGGAGCACTTATGAAATATATCACAAATAAATATATAAACTACACTATTACTTCTTGTTTTCTTACAAAAACTGAGAAAAACTGATAAAAAAGTGCAAAGGATATTAAGATAATTAAGGAATATGAAGGGCTTGGAAAACATTACCAAAAAGTATAGGAAAGCTGATATAAAATATCTAAAAATTATTTTAATTCTGTACAAATACTACTATCAATAGTTGACTACCTTAGAATGGTGAGAGCATTATACTGTTACCTGCAAAAATCATATTTTTTCCTTCTTCGGCACTCAACAAGAACCTAAATGCATTTAATTTCAGCAAATTCTAGCTGGTATCTAGTGATGTGTGAGAACAATTTATTTGAGTATGAAAATGTACTATTTTATGTCCAAGATATATGAAAAGCCTGAGCACCTCTCTAACAGATATGCTGAAGTTAGTTAATGAAATTGATTGAGAAAAAAATGAAGAAAAATATAGAGAAATAGAGCAGTTCAGTAACGCATAAAGCCCACCAAAGAAAATAAACAGTGAACAACTCTATAAACATAGTTGCCTTTTGATGACTTCAGATGTAATATTTTGGCCAAAGTTTGTGAACTTCTCACAAACAAAATATCAATATAGAATTTACTGTCATGCAATGCTAATCCAAGAAGATCCCCAGTGACTAATACTGCAAAGAAGCCCTGATTTTTCAAATCAAATTTTCCCTTCTGCAAACCTTAATCAAAGCTATGGTTAAGGATCTGTACAAAAATCATAAATTTTTTCTGTTTCTTATTTTGTCTTAGTTGCATCAACTCTGAATTGAATTTTTTGGAATCTTGAAAACATTGAAAGAAAACTTCCAAAAATTAGATTATGTATTTATTAGGAGTAATTTGGAGATAAATTAAAAAACATACATGAGAGCATACAACATTAAATATTTATGGCAATGAATTATAAAATTATAATACACAATGAAACTTATGATAACTACATATGAATCTTTTATGGAAAAGTGTTAACAAGAATGCAAGTATATGTATAGCAAACTGATGAAATTTGAAGGCAAAACATCAGTGGTTTCATCTTGATGTCCTTTGTCATTTTGGTGTAATTGCTTACACTGAATGCCATTTTTAATAGTTATTGTAAAATCAAATATTGCACATAGTCACAGTGTATGAGAATTCTTTTCCGTAATGGACATACTCTTTACAAGTGAATATGATGCTGCAATATAATTAATTCTAAAATGGGAAAGAACCATTGTTAAGAAACAGAATATACTTTGACAACATTAAAAATTCTACTAGTTGACCCTGAAATCATTCCTCTATTGCAAATGAAAAGTTTGTAGTGACTGAATTTATTCTCATATGTTCATGCTGAATGATGTTTCAGCTTTAAACCTACAGACTTGCCAATGTATTTGACCAATGTAAAGATAATAAAACATATGTGCACATAATTCAAAAATGGAGAAAATGCACAATAATTAGAGTTTCACTCAACAAGTTAAATTGCCTTTTTTTATGAATGAGTATTAACCAGAGTATTGCATCATTACTGCAAGAGAATTTATCATTTTCTGTATGTCTTCCCAACCAAACATATATTAAAATAATAAATCTGTTTTCATGGATTGCAAAAATATGCTCTTGCATGAGAGAATATTATGGAAAAATGAAAGAAAACTTGACCACAGAACCATTCCAAATAAATTTTAATTTAGTTCAGAGAGATACATGAAAAATATTTAAAAGTTGATTACGTGGCAAGATATCAATGTGTATACTGTATATTTTGAAGAAATAGAATATATTTTTCATAGACAGAGTTTTCTTAGAGATGTGTACCTGTAAAGCTGTTTTTATAACATCATTAATGAGAAGCTGTAATGCTCTAAACACCCTAGAGGTCTTTGTTATTCAGTTGATTATCAAAGAGAACTACTTTATTCCAAATACATACACACTTTGCACTATAAGTTATTAATTTTTTGGAGTCAAGAATTATCAACATTTGGTCATCATGTTTCAAGAACAGAAGCAAAAATGGATGTAAATGTAAAGTGAAATGTGCAATTCTAAGTGGAAAACTGGAACATTGGCAATGATACAATGAAGAAAAAGAAATCTATCTCAAGTGATTTCATTCTCAAGTTACTGAAATTTTATTTCAGAAGGTTGATAAAATAAATATATTCCTAGCTGTAATTTGCTATATTTCAATTGAAGAAACTTACTTCCTTTGTACGCCATTGTTCACAACCACAGAATAAGAATGAAGGTGCACTTCCGTTTATTTAATGTTCTTCATCACGAGGTATTAAAATCTCACATAGTAGTTGTAAAAAACATGAATAAAAATTATATACTTGGAAGATCAAGTATTTTGAAGATAATATTTGGAAACAATACATTGCTTATGCAAATGAAAAAAAAATTCCAAGTGTCTTGCATATGAATGGAGAGGCTCCCCAAGCATGGTCCAGACTCTAGATGCATATTAACCAGGCAAATTCAGAATCCAACAAAATTCTGACATTATAGTTTCTAAAAGTGGTGAGTCCCAATTCTTTGTCTCGAATTTCCATTTGTATATCATTATGTATAAAGGGGACAAAGAAGCAGGGTTGTAGTTTTTAAAACACTAATTTAAATTAGGATGGAAAATACTTTGTCCACCCTGTACCTTTCTCCCTTTTGTACATCTGCAATACAGGCAAATACAAGCAAAGTTCTTTCGCTGTAAGAATTCTCCCAAATATTGCTATTGATTTTTGCTTTGCTCTTTATATGCATGAAATTTTGGTTTACCTCTTAATTTTCTCATTTGTGAATGCAGTAGGTAGTATGTGTGTTAAATTCAAGTTCACATGTCTTGTTTCACATTGCATTCAGTAATACTACCAGTTCAAACACTGCATTAGCTTTGAGGTCATTAAATATCATAGGGAAATAATGTCTCTCATACTTATCTTTCCGAAGTTTCTCTGTTTCCAGGAATGTACCCAATAATTATTGACTTTGAACAATGCCACCTTTATTCTGTAGAATATCTCCTGTATATATAGTGTTTAAAACATGAACTAGTTTGTGAATTTGTATTGACAAATAATTGTAACAAATTTTCCAACTCTAGCGCACAAGCAGGAAATCCATTTATCTCTTAAGTGACAAACACATCACTTCAGCATTTGCTTTAGATAGTATTAGAAAAATTTAATGAATAATGAATTTCCCTAAAATTCTTTTCATAACATTTCACAAAAAAGTTACATTTTTTCATAACTTGATGTTAAAAGAAAGTGTATAGATTAAAAACCAATTTTCCTCATCATTTAGCAAATTGTTTATGAATAAAACAAAATTCAGACAATTTCATAATCTTTTGTATGGATATGAGAATACGTCATGTGTTGTAGTTTTAGATTTTTGGGATATTTGTAACAAAGATGTATACTTCCTTGCTTAAGTTTCAGTTTTTATTAAAAAAAAATGACTTATTTACATGTATGTGGAGAATAAGGATTAAAAGTGATGATAAATAAAATGGAAGTTTTCATCTTAAATCAAAATGTTTGTCAAGGGTTCCAAAGTCTCATATTTGTTTCATTCAAGTACTAATTCCATTTTAGATATGACTCGGTGGATATGTTACAAGTGTATTATTTATTCTATTAACAACTTTTAACCATTCTTAAAAATAACTGTTACTTGACATATTTCTGCTTTGAAGATGCCTCATAAAATTTTGAGAAGACTTCAGGTCATAGGAAGAATGTACTCTGAATGTGTTTCTTCTGAACTGACTAGATTATATTATAATTTAAATGGCAAAAGAACCTACATAATTGCTTTAAAAAAACAATATATTTTTATGAACCTATAATAATGAAATCAATTATATCAATTCTTATGAGTCAATGAAGTATAAAGTATTTGTTAAGTAGCTCTATAGCCATAACATTCTTGGTATGTTTATGCGAAAAATTGTTATAAAATTCAATTAATTTCACTAAAATTATTTTCTGTAATTCTTTCTTCTGACCATTCACTAAAAAAGAAAATACTTCAGTGTATGTATGCTTGGTAAACAGAAATTGAACTGAACTTCAATAATTGAATAAATGTAATCTTACTAATATTTGAAATAGTCAAAACATTGTTAGTAACCAATTCATTCATTCAGTTTTCATTTTTTATTTTGCCTAATTTTCCTAAAATCTTAACTAGTGTGAAAATTCCAATTATTGAATTGAATTAATGCCTTATTTTATGTGGCAATACTGGGGCCATCAGGCCCACTCTTCTGTCTGGCCACGCAAATTTCGCTGCGCTCCTTCAACCAACTAGCGGAGAAAGGAGGTATTTCTTGGGCGACGAAACAGGTGATTTGAATTTAGCTCAGAGGCGTTATTTAGGCTTGCGGATCTTTTATATATAAGTAAATCTACTAACATGAGACAGCTGGCTTTACCTCCCCTCTGAAGGAAGGCGTATGAAGGATTTTTTCGCCCTTAAAAATTCATTGCAACAATCAGGTTTGAGTCTGCCAACTTGGGTATAACAGTCCAATACGCGAACCATTACACCATCGCCACCGCTTCTATTATTGAGCAATACAAATTTCTGGCAGAGTGTATGTAAAAATCAGGACAATCCCAGTTAAATGAGATTAATGCCAATTCTTCTTGGCATTTAATATTATTGTAAAACTCATAAATTTCAAATTCAAAGGTGTGGTTCATAGAAAGCATTATGGTGTAATGTAAAAATGTATTATTAGTATTTTGGAACTAAAAACAAAAAAACAAGCACTAATTTTAGCTAAATTGGTGAACGTCAGAATGTCTTGCATGATATGAAAATATTACTAAGTTGACATTTTATTTAATCAGAATGGCACTATTAATTTTCCCTGTGATTCAGTTATTTTATTGGTTTACAGTCTCTTGGGAAAGTCTAGTTTCTGAATTAGGCTCCCATTGATTTTTCTCAGTAGAATCAAGCAATAAATTGTGAATTTTTTCTCAATAAAAACCTTTAATATTAATTGAATTATATTCAGTTTACTATTGCATATTTTCCCATTATGATGATGATGATATTTTCTGTTACTTTTTCAACTGTGAAAGGGAAAACAATACTTCATAATAGTTAGTATTTTGTTATCGCCAATACAAACTTTGCTTGTATTTGTATTGTTTTGCTTTTATTCTGAAAAACATTTGTGTAGTATTACATCTGTTGTCTTACGTATCTGACATTTTAACACAGTTAATGACATGAAAATCTCTTTTTCTCCCTCAAGATGTGGGATTGGGATATGTGGATGCGCTTACCTGAGGTGCGGAAAGGAAGAGAATGTGTGATTCCTGATGTTTCTCGTACATACCACTTTGGAGCATCTGGTCTAAACATGAATTCCTATTTTCAAGATGTTTACTTTAAAAAACATTCCTTCAACACACAACCTTATGTGGAACTTCAGAATATAGACAGGTATTTATAATAATAAACAAAAGAAAAACAAAATTAACCAAAACATGTTGTGCTACAACATCACATATTTTCTCACATTATTTCCAACGTTTAGAATTTTTGAAAATACTGTGTTCAACAAAAATTAGAGCTGTGCTATTCTTTTAAGTGTCTCCATGTTCTGTCAGTGGAAAAAAAATTAAAGAAAAAAATTTGAGGTGTTACATAACCTCCTTTGCTGTCATATTTTCGTCAATTATTAAATATCAATAACATATCTTTGGTTGCACTTTCATTTGAGGTAAAATGCACATTGAATTAAATTATTGTAAATTCTGTTGAAGATATATAATTTTTGTGAATAATTGCTATGTATAATCACCGTTGTTAATATTATTGTTATTATTATTATTATTATTATTGTTGTTGTTGTTGTTGTTGTTATTGTTGTTGTTGGTATTACCATCTAAAAAATAAAGAAATACAATTATAGAATACTATTAAACTTTCCTTAGATATTCTTTGTGTTTTGATATACATTAGATATTTAGAGAATCTTCATCCTCATTATTATTAATTATGTGGATAATCCTAATTATGTGCATATTTGCTGATTTACAGTGTGAAGAAGAATAACTATGAGGAATTAATTATTAGTATGATCAAGAAAGCAAACATTTTGGATCACAGCAAGTCTCCTTGTGAAGAAAACTTTGTACCTGATAAAAAGGTGTGTTCACATCAAAATGAATTATTCTGAAATATGAAGTAATATTATTTGTTAAGGAGTCATTTTGATGAAATACCAGTAGTCTGCATGAAAACAAATCATGGCTATTTTTCACCTGATTTGTATTTATATTCTATAGAGTGTATCATTTATCATGCAACCCAGTTGTTGCAGGGGTTCAGATCTGAATAAAAAAATGGCAGTGTCGCAGTGGCTGAGAGTGTAGCCACTTGTCACTTGATAATGCTAGTACCTGTCTTTTGACACAAGTTACAATTTGTTAAAGATGCTGATGCCTACCAATAACATCTCATTACCAAAGCATGTATTATCAACCTATTTATTGGAAGTCATCAAAAAGTTTCTTTATTATGAAATTAAATTTTTTTTAAATTTCAAATTAGACTGGATATTTCAATCCTATAAAAAGGTAATAATGTATCAAGAAAAAATAATTAAATTTTTCAATAATTATAAAATGTTAACTGAAATTCATTAAGGCTAATAACTCTTTGTTGTAAATTGTTACCAATGCATTAACACGTAAGATTTTTATAATGTTAACGACATTGAGGTTTATGTAACTTGTATTTTTAAACATACTGGAAGACAATGTTTTGCTGGCTACATTTTATACAAAGCTACTAGCTATCTTCTACAAAGATATGCTAGAAATGCACTTCTTTCTCTCTCATGGAAGTAATGACTTGTAGTGCAATTCACCACAACATACAGATGAATAATGTCACTTCTTGTGGTAATATTTTCCTCAGTTTTGTGACACTAAATGCAATATTTTGAAAAAATATAAGACAGCTACTTATGTCTTTTCTCAAAAGAAAATGAAAAATAATGTTTGGCACATATTTTAAAATCCTTAAGTCATTTTATTTGTACAGTTAAGTAAAGAAAACACTCCAAATCTCAAAAGTTCCGAAGGCACCTAATTGAAATCCACTTTTATTTATGTAAGTGATAATGTAATGATCACTATTTTAAATGTAAATGATCATTATTTCATTGTTTTTAAAGTTTCTTAAAGAGTAAAGACTTTCATTGTAGGATAATTGCCTCTCAAGAAGCCCAATATGCATAGAAATATCAGTACAATAAATAATTCATAATACAGTTCTTACATTACAAAACATGAATGCTGTATGAGGTAGCTAATATAAAGTTAACCATCACTTAATTTGAATATCCAATTCACACATGCAGTGGATAATATTGTGAAGCAGTGAATGAATAATATTCTATGCTTTTAATAGTTATGGGAGCATCTGTTGTTTGAAGCATTCAAGTTTGTCCTAAACTTTGTCTCAGCTTAGAGCAATTGTTTAAGCCCCCTGAGTAAGAGGCTTTACAGCAGACATCTTACAAAGCAGCTCAAAGCTCAAGTCATTATCAATACCACATGTGGGTACTGGTTGCAAAATCTTCCAAATCCAATGTCTTTCTGGAGTTGATTCAAACTAGGTGGATTGCACCATAAATGGTACACTCTGTATTCCCATATCTGTAGAGAGACCTGTCAGAAGGCAGAAATTTCTTTGTTGTACTTCTAATGTAAGTTGGTTCAGTATTTTTCAATGAATTATTAGCAAATTTTGAGTATCAAATACCATTCATTGTTATATCCAAAATTGACACCAGAGACAGGGAATGTGATTTCTCTTTCTATCCTAGGAGTCCAGATAGAGTTACCTTCTTTTCCATTTTTTTCCAGAATTACGAAGAATCAATAGCTTTCATTGTATGAATTCAAAGTTTTAGTTCTGTAGATGACATGAATTGAATCTGTAATAGTGTCAATAAAATAATGTGTAGCTGTAAAGGTGTTATGAAGAGGATCTTTGAATTTTTTGTTTTAATTTTTTTCTTAAATGCATTGAGCTCTCCAAATATAATTGTGTCTTACTCATATTAAAATTTTATGTATATTATGTTTCAAAGAAAGGGCAAATTAATTGTCTATTCTCAGTTTAAAAAGTGAAGATGATTGGAATGTTCTGTTATTAGTGTGCAGAGTAAAAAAAAATTCTATAATTTAATTTTTATTAGTAATTGGCTATAATCTTTGACTGATACATGTTTGCAGGGGAAGATAAATATAATGTTTATAAAAATGGAAGAACCTAAGGACTTCCTAACGTGGTTACAAGTTGCAAAGGTAAGCAAATTTTAATATCCTTCATTTATTTGCCAATAAGGTCATAGTATCCTGTTTATCCTGTTTTTTCCATTTTTATCCATTTACTTTTTAAATTCAGATACAGTGTTTAAGAACATTATTTTTATATGTTTTTATCTTAGTGTTTCAAGATATGGGATCTTGATGCTCGAGGCCATCATAAAAGTATGTGGAGAATGCATATGAAAGGCAGTGAAATGCTAGTGATTGGAGTTCCAAATTCTGAATATGCGTAAGTACTTCTTGTGTTAAAAGTTTGTCATAATATAAAAGAATTGCAAATTGTGATTATGACTGTTGTAGATATTTGCCACTGCTTTAATTTGTATATTATATTACATTACAGATTATTAATTTATTCAAAACTGTTTCATTCATTCCACAATTTTCAAATTAATTCTTTTGTTATATAGGAAATACAAGCCTTCAAATATAACTCCTATTTACTTGGAACCACAGAAGGAGAAGAACAAAGTTAGGTAGCAGGAATGTGGTGCTGCTTCTGAGTATTAAGCTTTGCAGAGATCTTGTGCCAAGCCATCTGTTACACTCACCCATGTGGTCTTCGTATGTCTTCTCATGTATCTGAGAAGACCTGGGGGTAAGGTGGTGCTGCAGCAGAGCTCAGAAACACCACCACACCTATCACTATTCAATTGAGATGCCAAACTTAACGATCTTGTTATACTAATTGTGTTCTTGTGCAAATATTGCTATATTGTGTGCTATAATGACAATAAAAAGCAGAGACCATAGTCGTGTATGAATGTCAAGGTTTTAAGCCTGTATATTTGAGAGTACATGTATTGTAGAAGATGATTGAGGGAAAACAGACTTTTGGAAATGTGTTATGGCAAGTGCTCACTATTACTAGGATCCTACCAGTCCCATAAAATGAACAGGTATGTCATTGATATTCCCTGTCATATTGCGATTCCTTGTTCCAGTGGAACAGCATTTGTAATTTACATTGAAAAGTAGTGGTTTTTAACAAGAAATGTTATCAGTCATGCTGAAGAATCTTTTTGTTTGCATGTAAATAACTGTGAGGTACCAATGTGGAAGTAATGAATCAAGATATTCTAATAGATATATTACGTGTTACTGTCATTAAGTAATCTTTTGACAGCAATAGAATGACTTAAAAGTGAAGTCTGTACAGTATTGTTCCACAATAATATTGTGATTTTTCAGCATGCAAAGTTTATTTTCATATTGAATAAAGTCTCCCTAAATATCAATAAATTTATTTTTATGTATTGTAGCCCATTTCCTTCCTGTTCAAAATACTCCTTCTGTCCTAAATCTCTGTGGGAAAAATAATGGTACAACTCCAAAAAAAGGTCTGTCAGTCAAATCTATTACAATGAACATTATTTTCCCTCTTCACATAAATTCAGTTTTAAATGTCTTCACAATATTTCTGTTCGGAAATATAATACACATGAAATGCTTTCAAAATAAGCTGATTAAAGGGGTTTAAATGGGTTACATAAAAATTACAAAACTGGACCAACTATAAGGCATAATTAAACTATCTGAGTATCATACTTCATGGACAACAGTTGGTAAGCCCTGAAATATTATAGTATCACAAACACTACAATTTTGAGGGTTATTTTCTTTTATATCCAAGTTTTTCACTTAAAAACTTTGATAGTTGCTGTGTGCTAAGCAAGCTTAGAAGTTTGATTTAAAAACAACAATTGTATGCAAGATTGTAGGGTTATTGTGGTAGTTATGATGAAAGGGATATTAGGTATTTTGTAATGGTTTACCGTAAATGGTGTGGATTAAACGCTTAAGGAGTCACTTCACTCTGAGCTGTAGTGTGGGTCCTTTTGAATCAAAAAACACTTCAAATTGATTATATTTTATGTACGGTCCATTGTCATTCATTTTTAAGAAATAGTCCCACTTTATTAAAGACAGTTTCTTTACATGAATTGCATAAAAAACAGATTAATTTGTTAGAAAACATTTTCTTTAAAACATTGTTTCAACCAAAGTTGTTGGTCATCTTCAGATATTATTGGAGTAAAAATCTAGAAAGAAATTTCCAAAACATTTTTAACAATATTATTTAAAATTATAAAGAACAATACAAGATAAGTACACACTACAAGTTGGGCCCACGTGTTATCTTATGCAATTATGAGAAAGTTTCATATTGCACATGGAAGTTGTCAACTCTGTGGGTACACTGAGCACTTGGTGTAAGCTTGGTCAGATGTGGGTTGGAAGTGAAAGTGACTTCGGAGAAGGAGAGAGAGTGGGGGTTGAGGTGGTTGCAATTTGCATTGGCGGAGAGATTTTTTTGAACAGCAAACTTATACTTTAAACTGTGAAAGGATGGTATTATAGGTATTTGTAAATTTATTGCGTTCTAGAAAAGATTGTAGTACATTACGGATAGTTAACCTGTAGTAATAGTTGTTTTCGATACTAAGTATCTTGGGTTTGTCAGAATTTAATGAGTGTGTCATATTTAATCTATGTTGTGAAATTGAATTTTGTCTGTCTATGGGTTCATTAATATCCCGTTTGCGTTCATTAACCCTTTCCATTTTGTTTGTCCAACATATTTTAATGGACAATCAGCTCACAAAATTAAAAACACACTATTATGTTTTTCTAAGATATTGATAGGATATTTTTTCATGTCTTAACAAGTTTTCTTTATTAATTATAGTATTTCTGAGGCCAATGTTAAATTTCTTGTTGAAATGAGATTTGACTTATTATTAATAACAGGTGTGCATGGAAGTTGGAAATAAATTTTGGACTTACTTTTTTTCTTGAGCATATTCCGAGCATTTGGATTTGTCATTAAAATTTGTATTGAATTTTATTTAATCTTTGACACACATTCCTTTCAATTTTAATGGGTGGTTATTAGTTAATTAATTAGAAACTAAAGCATTTATGATGATTGTATTTGTATTTCCTATTTTATTTGACTTAAATTGAATTTGAATTTTATTAACTTTTGCAATCTTTAAAAATTCAGAGAGTTCAATGAAAATGAAACCTGAACAACTTTTATAAGCATCTTTTCCCTTAACCAAGGGGGAAAAGTGAAGAAAAAAAGGGAGAAGAAAAAAATTAGAGCCATTTTTGAGAAAAATGTTTTAAATTTAATTAAATTAATTTTAATGTTCTTTACTTCATGCAAAAATTCCTCAAAAACTTCTCATATTTTCAAAAAAATTGTAATACATGACTATTTAAATATTAATTTTTAAGAACAGATTTCATTATGGAAAAAAATTCATCATTCCATATATATATATATATATATATATATATATATATATATATATATATATTTACCGAGAATATATACAGAGAATTTACTGCTAGTAGCCCTGGGCCATTTTTATAATTGCTCTATTTGAGGAAAAATAGAAGGAAAAATTGGAGCCATTGTGAGAAAATAATCATTTAAAAATTGCCCGTATTTCATACAAAATTAGGCGGGAATTACCCATATTTTCGAAGAATTGTATCTGACTTTATTTGAAGATGTCTTTTAAGAACAGATTTCATCAAGGAAAAATTCTTTATCATCAACATTGCAGTTATAGGCCGGTGAAGATGGCCGAGATTATTCGTAGCGAACTCCGACCAAAAGACCGCGGGTTTAAGCCCCGCCTTGGGCATGGGTGTATTTGTGTATGTCTATATGTGTCTGCCGTATCCCTCACTATCATCATCACCTCATCATCCATACTTCCAGAGCTGACAGCCTTGGGGGATAAAAATCGACATTCAGGTACTTGCGTCTGCAGAAGCAGGATGCATGCGTGGTCTGATCCTATACGCGAAAAGAGAAAAAATGTTGTTATAGGAAGAAGCCCAAAAAGTTTAACATTTGCTATTTTCGAAAATTTAAAGAGGTCAACGAAACATGTGAGATCCGGCGCCGACCTACACGTACGTTTGGGAAGGGCTACTTTCCAGGCATCTCCCTCAGCGGAGTACCCCCGGGACAAGCTTAAAGTTCCCGACTGGACTCACGACTTGCGCTAGTGTAGTTACGGTTTCCGATATCGACTTACAGTTTTCGCTCAACAATACAGAATCATAGGGCAAGTGATATGGTGTAGAGATATATTGTTTGAAAAATTTTTAGTTTTTGACGTATTTAATCATCTTTGTTTTCTTTAATGGAACAATTTATTTTTCTAACTAGTAATGGATAGACCATAAAAAGAGGAATGCAATGATGTAACATGTTAATATTTTGATAGTATTTTGTGCATAAAATTATACTTTCTAACCTGAGATTTTAAATTAAACTTGCATTTTTTCTGTAGCTGCCGTCGCAAGCTTGGGTAACACATCAACACCAGTCCTCCGCAGTCTCCTGCCAAAAATCCCCCCCCCCCTTTCACCTTCCTTACGTTCCCCATCCCCAGCCTTATTTCAAACCCCCTTACCTCCTCCTCTGATCCTACTCCCGTGTCTCCCATTCCCACTACCAATTTACTTACATATGATGCCCCAATTTCCTCACAACCTGTCACTGCAGGTACACATAACAACCGTCGACCACGCACTCGAGGTAAAAATGAAGTAAATATATAGCAACTACAGTTAGATGCAGTAGAAAAAATCCGTGTAGGATATTGCAAAAGATGTACATACTGCACCATAATGTTCAATCCCTTTCAAATAAAACCGAGTTTATCGAAGCAGCACTACAGAGCGATTTAAATCAAATGGATGTTCTCTGTTTTACAGAACATTGGTTATTTCGTAATGAACTTAGCATTTTCTAAATAAGAAATTTTTACCTCGTAGGCTATTATTGTCGAGAATCTACAATATTCCGATGAAAATGTTTTTGAAATATCTGTAGTACATCTTCCTATGCTAAAAATTATATTACTTTGCATCTAAAGGCCTCCAACAAAGAGAGCAGTATATTATATTATTCTTAAAAAAAATTGGAAATAACACTAAACAAAGTCAGCAATCGCTGTTGGGCCCATTGTTGTATGCGAAGATTTTAACATTGATTTTCTAGTCGAATCTTGCGAGAAGGAGCCGTTTCTCAACTTAATTAATTTCTTCACTTTAGATATTACAATAAATGTATCTACACGGATCACACTAAATTCAAAGAAGGCTATCGATCAAATAATAATTAACAAAACCACAACTCTATATGAAATTGAAACAAAACATTTAGGATACAGTGATCACGATGCACAAACTCTTACCATTATAAGAAATGCGAACATTGACACATTAACTAATACACGTATGGGTTGATTGTTTACTAAAAGTAAAATAAAAATATTCATTAATTACTTACTGAAAGAGTCATGGGACGCAGTTTACAATACTGTTGATACAAACAATAAATGTAATGCTTTTATTTTCAACGCTTTCATTTTATTTTAACACTTGCTTTCCTCTTCAAATAAAAATTAAATATATCATGGAAAAGCAATTCTTGGATAACACAAGGGATTTAGGACATCATGTAAAAACAAACGAATGTTTTCTTTCATTTCTAAGCATCATAACGTGTCTCAAAAATTACTCCTCTACTTTAAAAAATACAAATCATTGTTAAGAAAAGTCATAAGGCATAATCATGAAACATGGTCCGGATATTTTAAACTCGAATATTTTAAACTCAAAAGCAATGTGGAATGTAGTAAAAAAATCAATTAGAAACTTTGTAGAGAATGTTGTTTTAAAACATAACGATAGAAATGTGAACGATCCGGCAACAGTGGCTGGTCTCTTTAACCAATACTTTTCGAGAATTGCTGCCTATCTCATGAAGGGTCTTCAGCCACAAAATTTAACATCAGACGTTTCCCCCAATATTAGACACAATGTTCGTGTCCGAAACTTCTTCCAATGAAATTCTCAAAATAATTGATAGACTAAAAATAAATATTCGGCCGGTTTAGATGAATTTCCAGATTGTTTATTAAAGTCTGGCCATTATACACCCGTTAACTCACATATTTAATGTATCCTTATGCACAAGAATTTTTTCAGATGTTTTTAAAACAGCTAAGATTAAGCCGCTTTTCAAACAAGGCAACAAAAATTAAATTGAAAATCATCGGCCAATTTCTCTTTTGTCGGTTTTTTCAAAAATATTAGAGACTTTTTTACGTACGAATGGAAACATTTCTTAGTAAACACGACGCGTTTTCAGATTGCCAACATGGGTTTCGAAAATCAAAATATACAGAAACAGCCATATTTTCTTTTTCTTAAAGGTGTCCATGGATTCAAACGAAGCACTTATTGGACTATTTTTAGATCTTTCATAATCTTTTGACGTCATTGATCATAACATTTCACTTTCAAAATTACCTTCATATGGAATTCAAGGTGTTGCTCTAGATTGTTAATGTTCATACCTTAAACAACGATCTCAGAGAGTAAAAATAACTTAATGAAGTAATGGTACATTATGTACACACTTTTCCGAATCTTTGCTAATTGCATGTGGGGCCCTGGCAGGGATCAATTTTAGGCGCTTCTCTTCCTAATATACGTAAACGATATGCCCTCGAAGATTAGAAAGGGATTTTTTTTCCACATGATACGAATATTCTTTACAATAAAGAAACCGTAAATAGTACAGTATCAGACATTTCAATTTGGTTCCGTAATAACAAATTAATAGTTAATTTAAAAAAAACAGTTTCAGTGCAATTCCATTTCAAATGAACAGCTTTGCACTTCACTGAAAATGAACGGTGTGCCATTGACTGATGTTAAAGTAACCAAATTTTTAGGTCATTCAATTCAGTCAAACCTTAAATGGAACGTCCATTTAAATGAATGGAACACTAATAACACTAATTTAAGTCCTTTATGGTACGCTTTCAGAATTCTTTCAAATTTAGTCAGCATCCACACTGCTCGTTGTGTATATTTCGCGAATGTTCATTCCCGCCTGAGATATGGCATAATATTCTGGGGAAATACATCTTATAGCTCCCAGACTTTAGATTACAAAAAATAATTGTACGAATAATAAGCAAATCCCACCCACATGATCCTTGTAAGCCTCTCTTTATTAATTTAGGTATTTTATCACTACATTGTCTCTTCTTATATGAATCAACTTTATAACTACAACACTCGACGTAGTAATCATATTCATCAAGTGAGAGTATCAACAGCTCACTACAAAAAATCCACACACAATAAATGTACATTGTTTTACAACACCTTGCCAGATGACATTAAACGATTAAATTCGATACAAAAGTTTAAGTCCCAAGTAAAATATTTTCTGCTGGACAACTGTTTCTACACAATTAGAGACTATACCGAGCATCTAAAAGGAAAAAAAAAATTAATAATAACATTTAATGTAAGATTTACCATTAGATTGTATAATTCTAAAGAACCTGTAACAAGTATTGTACTTCAGCTTCTATGTCGATGACCCCCATCTCGATCAAGTTTTCCAGATTCCCTGATCATTGCGCAAATGCTGAGATGGCCCCTTGTTTTGCTTCTAGGCATAATTGTAACTTCAAATTAACTTTTCCCCATAGCATGTCACACACAGTTTCTTTTCTGTTTTTGACGTAAACAAAGAAAAAAAGAAACAAATAAATAAATAAATAAATAAATAAATAAATAAATAAATAAATAAATAAATAAATAAAACAAATCATCTCGATGAATTAATTTCGGAGGTAAAAATAAGAACAACGAAATAGTAGTACTTGACAAGAACCTTATTTGCAAGCTTATAATTGCTGCGTGTTTCACATTGGTGTACTTGTACTTTGGTACTTCATTAAATGTTTAATGTCTCTTTGGATTAAATTTTAACGTGATTAAAATATTCCTCGGTAAGTAAATATATACGTTAGATTCGGTTTTAGAATATAATACACGGTCCTTCCCATTAACTTTTAATAAATATCAGCGGGCATGAGAGCCTCTTGCTTCCTCTTTCGTGATGTAAACACAAAATTTGCAGTGACGTCTTGTGCAAAACAATGAGCCGTGTGACCCTTCGCGAACTTTGGAACAGTTACCGTTCATGCCTTCCGCTCCTGCTGCTATTTGCTGCGGATACGACTTTCTGATGAGCCCTGATTTACGCACACAATAAAGGATTCCGGTGAGTCATGGCGAACTGCACAGAACTGTGCATTATAAGCGCCGTAGATTATCTATCGGCGCTTGCAAGCTGGCTGAATAACGTGTCTACGTTCTAAGGGCAAGAAAATCTCCCCTCCGGTAAAAACGTAGAGTGAATTGACGTTTCAGTTGGGGTGCATTATCCAACCGGGAGCTTCAGTATCAGAAATGAAGTTGTAACGAAACTCCTGAATAGATAATCGCGTCCCAGATGATTGCAGTCAGTTCGCCCTGCATTTTAATCAGAGTGTAGCAATACATACTCTTATCGCGTCCGCTAGCTGATTGATAAAGGAAAATAATGTGTGCAGATAGCGATGATTAGAGACCAAAAAGATATGTAGTATGAAACGTCAAAATATGAAATAAAAACGGTAAGAATATGTAATAAATATGTAAAATCGGATGTAATATGTTATATTAAAATACACCAACTATAAAACACATTTTCATAATACGAAACAATTCGTAAATTTGTAAAAATTTTCTAACCAAACTTAAAAATAAGGCAAACATTTTAAAAATAATTTGAAGAGCACAAGCTTGTTCAGAGTTTGCACCATACAAATTCCCCGTCAGTGGTAAAAGTTGCACCTATTGCTTTCCAGGGCCATAGTTTAGGAATAAGACTAGATGTAAATAAAGCCCATCGTACAAACTGGCGATATGTACGACCAGCAAACAATCACTGCAGCGCGCAGCATTCTCATCAAAGTGTTACAAGTCGGCGATGTTTCTCAGAAATTGGAGTAGAAGATCACAAAACGCGGCGTCAGTGATACTTATCACACCTGAAGGTGAAAATGAACTGTCGCTGACGCGCTCTCCCCGCCACTGAGATAACTGAATCACTAGATATGCGAAATAGCCAGAGTCTACGAGGCTCGACCCGGCCTCGCGGCCATGGGTTAAGGGGTACGTGTAGTTAGCCTGAAAACATTCCCACGCCGTATTCCGCTCTTCTCTACCTTAGAAGTGAGTTTTCTCATCGTCACACAGCAAAATAGAGGGGGACATTGCAAGGTCGCGTCATAGAAAGCGAGCACACTGACCCATGGGCAATGATCAACGATGGCCATTCTACCATGTAGTACGATTTAATAATTAATAAATTATGCAAATATTTTCCCCAAGGATCTCCTTTATCACCTACGTTATTCACTGTTTTTATTTCTGATATGCCTTACCTCTTACATTCAGACTTTCTCCTTTTTGCGGATGACACTGCAATATTTATAACTCATTGCGATCTTCTTTTAGGTAGAGATAATCTCCAAGATGACCTAAATCTTCTCATTTCTTCGTTCAATGACTGGCAAATAAAATTAAATCATCAAAAATCTGATGCTAAAATCTTCTCCTTACAACGGATTCTTTCTACTTATCCCCTAATAATTAATAATCATGCAGTCACATGGATTTCAAATGACACTCCTGTAAATATCTTGGACTTAAAATAGACTTCGTAAAATCCACATAACACCAATAGCTAATAAAATACGTATAAACATTTTAAAATTGTATCCATTTGTAAACAGAAAACCTAAATTATCAATAGATTCAGCATTAATAATATTCAAATACATTATTCGACCATACATTCCGCTAAAAGCAACATTCGGAATCTAGAAGTACTGCAAAACAAATTCTTAAGTTAAGTTTTAAAAGCGCCATGGTATATCAGAAATGTCATAATTTTAATATAATTATCTATAGAACCTCTAAAAAATTGTGATTATTAAACTTTCATCCCGTTTCTACTCTTCTCTTTCATCTTGCCCAGCCTCTCGTCTGTACACTGTAGGTAAATCAGTAAATATTTTTCTATAAATACCTTCTTTTCTTTACCAGTGCGCATTCACCATCTTCTCTCATGTGAGGTGGTGGATATGCAGTGTTAAGACCAGTAAAACTCAATTGACCAAAATACCCAGCAAGATGAAATTCAAAAGGGCTTCTCGTGGTCATTCGAGTATTGTTTTGGATGGCCCATTCCTCTGCTAACATTATATAAACAAACAGTTCCTTGGCTTTCAGCCCCACGGGTCACATATCCTGCATCTGTGCCTTGTCTTTTCGTCGTGTCTCCCGTCGAGCCTCACGATGTCGTCTCACGTCGCGCGCTATTCGTCTTCCAAACACACCAAATACACAGAAATAATGCATCTGAATACCTTTGGGTGATGATAGATAATAATTTAATCATTTTACCCAAAATTTTGCCACTGGAAGAACGAAATTTTCTCAGCGACCATATATTCTAACGCACAAATTAACAATTCACACATTTTTGTTGACAATTCAATTTTTTAAAGGGACACATTTTGACATATCGTTAAAGTGAAAGCATTTCCCCCAGCTGAAGTACCTGCAATATTGTATCGATTTTTTCCAAAATAATTCCATCAATTTTTGGATATTTCGATGTTTTAACGGTTTGAATTAAAAGGTGCTTAAAAGTCTGTTCTACAGAAATCCACCATTTTCATTATTTTATTTAAAAAGCAAACGAATAACACATTTTTCATGATAAATAATGTGTTCCCGTTTTCTCTACAAGACTTCATGTTTTCTACTTACTTTTGCAACAATCGATTTGGCAACAGTGCATGAGATTCTTCCACAAGAATAACTTTGCCCATAAAGGCCCATTGTGCTTTCATGACGTGAAAATTAGTATAGATGTGTGAATTCTGGTATTCAAACATTTATTGTTTTTTAAATGAGTATTGGTCCTTATTTTAATATATTTTTATAACTTCGTTTTATTTTATTATTCATTCAGTACCATATTATGATTCTTTCTTTTCATTATTCAAAATATGCATTTGAATTTGGCGCTGAGGTAGGTAACATTAACCACAGCTGAGATGCGGAATGCGATACATTGTTACGTAATGCGATATTCATTTGAAATAGTTCGTTTTGTAGTGGCGACACTAATACGTATCCCGCGAGCTTGGAATTCAAAGAACTTCATTTGTTTCTTGTTGTTAACAAAACAAATATACTGGAGTTGACTGCGAGTGTTGGCTGCAGTTGGCATCCTGTATTGTTGCAAATTGCTTGAGGCCGGTTAAAAAGGTATGCTTGCTTGGTGTAATTATTATTTGTTTTGATCCAAAAATCCATGTTTTTAATCATTCGTACAGTATTGATTGGTGTTGTTAATTTAATCGTAATGATAAAATTAGGTTTTCAATTATTCACATGAAGTTTCATGGTATTTTTATCTGTTCGGTGTACAAAATGCTTAGTGATAAGTAATTTCTTAAAAATGTCATTTTGAATAACGTTTGTATTACAGGCGTAACAATGAGTGACACACATGACAACGCAAATGTAATGAAACTTGAGGGTAGAAACAAGAAAAGAGGAACTTCTAAAGGTATTTGTGAATTATTTGTCAACTGTTTAGCCCTCAGTGGTCGCGATTCTTTTTGGTTAAATAATAATAAAATATTTTCTTATTTCTGAGGAAAAATAATAAATAAATTTAAAACATAGACACATTCATTAAACACATCATCATGTGGCTTGTATTTCAGTTGTTGTGTAGAAGTAATTATAGGTTTGTGTTTGTATATTAGGAATAGAATAATATAGAATTGCCTTTATTAAAATAGTTACTTGTCTATAGCTGTAGTTCTTGAGTAGTGTGTGGCTGTAGGATCTTTCTAATTCAGGGTTGAGACTTGTAGGGTCCTGATCAGAGTTTTTCTTTGTGGGCTCCACAGTTACGTTGTGAACTGCTGACTTCATGACAATAATCTACAACGATTACAAAAACAATAGCAATGAACAAAAAAACACAAAACTTCTTAAAATATAAACAGTTTGATACAATTTAAATCATTTTTATAAATTATGTATTGCTGGCAACTGATCTGTCACTGAGTTCCTTTCCTTTTGGTGATTTTTAAAAAAAAGAGTACAAGATGAGGTTCTGTAGTTGTTGGTAGTGGCAGGGACATCTATTAACAGTTTGATTTATTCCTAGCCCTTTTATAATGCAAAGAAAACGAGATCTATTCATTGTATTGTTGAAACTTGGTGACAGTTTGGGAAACTATGTGCTTGCTGTACTACATGTGGTAATGTCATCATATTTGCTGACAGTTTAGGGGCACATCTTAGGACTCAGATTTTGTATTTTGTATTTTTTGTTTAACAGCATTCTTTTTCAGTTTTAGAATTAATTGTCTGCTTATCACGTTACATACATTCCACCCCAAAAAGTTATTCAGTTAGTAATTTCCCAAACCTCAATTAGCGTTAGAATAATATCAAGATAAGGTTTTAGGATAAGTTTTCTTGGGCAAAAACAGTGAGAAAAGATGGTTAAGATTTAAAAAGAGAATGAAAAGACATGAAAATTGAAGAAAAAGATTTGACGTGATAGCAGTATATTAGTTCAGTATCACATTTCAGAAGTTATTGTTAAGAATAAAAATATAGGTTTTGAGTTAATGGGTACCATACCTTGATAACTCATTGTAGAGGTGAAGATAGTTTTAATTCTCATTACTTTAACTCTGCGTGATCACACTTGGATTTGACACAATAATTTAATTTTTTTTAAATAGATCTTGTGAATTTTTTGACAAAAAACAAATATTTTGCAGTCGCAAGTTCTTAGGTCTTGTTTTGGCTGAACACTGTTAAGTTCAGTTACTATGAGTTAAATACTTATAATTTCTTTTAATAAAATCACTGAATATAAATGCCGCCTCCTTGATGGGAAAAAAAACCCATTGGGGATTATAAGTTATGTCTAATTTTGTTCCTTCATAATTGGATAAAACTACTTCAATCACATAAGAACTGCTTTAGATTTATAGTTCTGAGTAAATATTCTGAGTATAAATACGCAGCAACAGATATAATGTTTTTGCAGATGGCAACACTGCACTTGGGCTTAAATATCAGTTTCGAAGTATTATGGGGTAACAAACATCATCTGTGTAATTGTGCTGTAGTTATGTTTTGTATGAAGTGTCAAGTATCTAATGGCAACAAAATTATTGATACAAGAAGAAGAAAGGGTACAAAGTGAAGGGAAGAATAAGAAAGAGGGGAAGAAAGAAAAAATTAAATTGTTGATTGTCTCTGATGTCATGTCCAAGAATGGCACCTTTTAATGTCATGATTTCCCAAGTACGGTCCCTACATCCTAAGTCAGAAATGTTCATTGTGAAAATAATTTAAGTCATTTTTTTTATTATACTATATATAGATTTTCCCACAAACATTATTCCAGTAATCTCTCATTAAACATGGCTGAATAATAGAACTTTGTTTTCTCCAAACTTAGATTTATGACTTAAGAACCTCCCTCAACCAGGTATCTCCTGGCATTTGGGGTAGAGTAGTGCCTGGTAGTTGTGTGAGTGGAATTAAATTTTCAACCTTGTGCACTTTTACAGAAGTTTTACTCTTGTATATTGTATATTAGAGAACATTCAGTTTTAACTTCATGAGAATGTCAGAAAAGAAGTTAAGAATTAGAAAATTTGTTTCTTGAAACAGCAACAAGTGACAATGGAGTTGCATTGTAAATGTTCAGTATAAGACAGAAAATTGAGAACAAATTCTTAATGAAAAATAGAAAGAAAAAAGTTATAATTTGAAGAAAGAACTATACACTAAAAAAATTCCTACGTATGATTTTTTATAAATTGTAATGATCATTTTGGAGAAATAAGAGTAGCGTAGCATGTTATTTTTTTATAAATGAATGGTAACTACATTAAGTAATGTATTTATATTTTTTATTGAAAATGCTACCTTTCAACTATTTAAGGCTGTTAATTTATATTCTAGAAATTTAGAATTTTTCAAATGTTTTTTTCTCTTTTCCTGGTATGGAATTTTTTCAAAATTAAAACCGAAATGTATAAAGTGGTTTTAAGCTAATAAATATTTTAACAATGATCAACCAGATCACGAATTAAGGAAAAGTATTAAAAAGGTTAATATTATTATAAAATTAAGTACTTTATTTGGAAAGAAAATAATTATTAAGTATATGTTGGTGCCCCCACACTCCAGTGTAACCCTTGGGTGATACAATAATGTGCATTGTGAATGTACAGGGTTAAGCATTTCTTAACTTTTATAATTTAATTTAGTTTCATTGTATATTTTGATTTCAGGACATTCATTAGTTCAAGTTGCTACCATATTGTTGTTTTACACGCATATCTAGCAGCAATAGCATACGTTTTGTATTGTTCCCCCTTACAAGTAACAGAATGCACTAAGGGAAATGTAACTTGGCCCTCTATCTGTCATTATTCATCATTGTTTTTATTTACACGCATAGTTTTCACATATCTCTTGAACTCAAATTTAACCAAACATTTTAGACATAACTATTATATTGAAAGGTAAAGCACATTCTTGCAATGGTTAGAGACTGCTTCTGGCTCACACATTTCTGAAGAATGTGGGAAAATTGGAAACAAACATGTAGTTAAAAACTTATTTGTCAACCGACAAGGATTAGACCATAACCTTTTCCAATGCCCTCTTCTTCTTTGGCCTGTCTATGACTCTCATGGGTTTAATATATGGGATATATTGAAGAGATAATGCTGCTAATCTCTCATTTGGTATCCTTTTTAAATTTTATCTTATTAGTATTCATTTTTTCTAATGTAGGTCTGACATTCAGCTCTTTTCTTATATCCACATTCTTCATTTTATCTAGGAGGATATATCCTAGAGTTCTTTGTAAAAATTTAATTTCTGCTGCTTGCATTCTACTTTTATCTCTTTCCAAAATTACTTTTGATTCACTTCCATACATCAGTACAGGGTCAGCAATAGTATTAAAGAACTTTATACGGGTATCTTTATGTTTGTTGAGTTTTAAATTCCTTTGCATGTTTCCGAATTCTATTATTTTTCTTTATACGTTCTAAAATTTTTTGAACTATTAAATATCCATTCTAATGGGGAATTTGCCTTTAAAATCCATTGTTTTTTTGTCAATTGAAATGTTAAAATTGTGTATGTTTGCAGTATTATTTTAAATATTTACTGCCTGTTGTAGCATGTCTTTGCTATCTTGCAAGATGTTATGGTCATCAGCATGACATAAAGAGTTAAAATCAGGCCCTTTCCCAAGATGAATTTCTTTATCTTCCTATACTTTCCATGTTCTAAACCTATTATCCATATAAATGTAAAAATTGTTGGCGAGAGGCTGCAATGTTGTCTCACTTCTTTATTTGTGGAAATTTCCTTAGTTAACTTTCCGTTTTTATCAAAGCACAGTGTGATTTCAGCACCTATTAGGTGATGTGGATATCTCCTTGTTTCAAGGATTCTCCAAAGTAGTCTTCTGTTCACATTATTGATAGCCTTCTCTAGGTTTATGAATGCCATATGTGTTTGTCAGTTAAACTCTTACTTCAGTTATTCTTTGTATTGTAAATAGGGCTTCTGTACTGGCCTGCTCTTTTCTAAAACAAATTTCCTCTTCAGATATAGGTAGTCTGCTATGGTTTTTAAACAGTTGTTTAACATTCTAGTATACAATTTATGTGATGTATCTTTCTCAATAATTATTGGTTTCCAAGTGATTTTCGTTTTTGAGGAGTGATATTATTTTTGCTTGGAGCCATTCTTTGGGAACTTCTTCTCTTTTCCCACACATGTTATAAAAATGCAGAAGGTGCAAATGGAAAACAATTCCAGAATATTTCAAAAGTTTAGTGTTTAAATTATTCAATCCCAGTGCTGTCGGGTTGTTCATAATTTTTAGGGCTTCTTGTGATACTTCTAAAATCAGCCTGTTTTCACATGACTTTTGTTTTTAGATTCTTGAATATTATCTTCATTCCAGAACTTTTTGTAATGTGCTACATATCTAATCACTTTTATCTACTGCGGCAACATGGTTATTGTCGTTCTCTCTTCTTCAACGTCCTTTAACGTCATCATTTCCTTATATGCTAGTGACTGCCAACCACGTACATTGTGTTTAATGTTTATTGTAAACCTATCCCATGAATCTTGATGTGCTCATCTTATCATGGATTTTGCTGAATTTGTGCCCTCTCGTATTCTTGTTTTTTTATTCTTAGACTTCCAATGTATGTTCTGTATTTTTCTGTTTGAAGTCTGTGACTTTCTTTTTTCCGAATTCCTTTCATTCTTCCAAATCTTTTTTTTAACTCTTCTGCTTTCATGGCTGCCTGACTCAAAATAGTTCTTATGTTCTTTTATTCCATGTGTTCTATATGTTCCACATTCCATCCATGTTTTCCAGGTATTCCATATGTTCTTCCATTTTGAAGGTGAATGTTAATTCTATTTTGATGCAAATATTTCAGTGCAATATTTCAGTGCAATATTTCACTTGTATATTTTGAATTCTGTTACTTGTGTAACAGTATCCCCAAGCCCTTGGATGGGAGGAATAATTCTCTAAGGAGGAAAGTTATTTAGTTAGTCTTACATCAACTCAGTGTCATTGCCTTTTATCCTGTCATGGGCATTTATCTTTTGGCCAGAGGTTCCAAATCATTATTATTCGGGGTTCCCAGTCAGTCACCCAACTGGGAAACCATGGTGACTACTTAATTCTGTGTCTTCACAGAGTTTGATTAAGAAGTTTGGCTACTGGTGCTGGTATTTCATACTGAATTAATCATTTATATTAACGGACGCTTTCGAATCCATTCTTTAATTGTTAGTATGTTACTTACTGTTTACATAGAGCAGTGTTTATAATCAATATATGAATGTAGATAAAATATTTTGATTGTCAGTTAAACGTAATTAATTAAGATTCCTTGTTTTAACAATCATTTAAAAAAATATTACAAATGAATCATTGCCTGTTTTCTTTTATTCTGGTCAGTGAATATTGATGTGATATTGGGATTTATGTCTTAACTAATATTACACAATTATTTTCTTTTACAAATTTTATATATTTTAAAAAAGAAGATGTACAAAATTTAATTTAAAGTTTGACAAAAAACATATATTTAAACTTAATATATAAACAATATAACAGCAATTTGCTCTCTGATTAAATTATCAATTGCAAATGTTGAACATGTTTTAATATTGTTAAATTTAGGTAACTCGTTTATAATAGGATCTGTTTATTTTCCACCAAATTCTTCCCTTGAATTATATATTGATTCCGGAGAATATTCTGGGGAAATGCCCCTGAAAGCTAGTGCACATTTATTGTCCAAAAAAGAATATTGCGAACAATGACCAGCACTCATAAGCTGGAGTCTTGCAAACCCGTGTTTAATAAACTAAGGATTCTTCCTCTGCCATGCATGTATATATTTGAAATAGTGGTCTTCACAAAGAAAATTCTCATTGAAAACAAAGACTTTTACTTTAAATTCTGATGTACACAACTACAACACCCGTCAAAAGGATAACCTACATGTTCCCCACTCTGAAACTACACTTTATCAAAAAAGTTCCCTAATAGAGGGCATTTCACTTTACAACAAACTAGGCAATGATATTAAAGACATAAACACAATTCATACATTTAAAAGTGAATTGAAAGCTTTCCTGCTTAACAACATGTTCTACAGTGTAAAGGAATTTTCAAATTACATTTCCCTTAAAAAATATAAATAAATAAGAATTTCTTATCCCATTAGACTTTCTGTTTCATGTAAACTGTTTCGAGCTGAAGCAAAGAAAAAAGAACTGGCATATTGCATCCTGTAAAATAGAAGGAGAATGCCTGACAAAAAAATTTTTTTTTTCTCTGTGGACTACGTGTACAAATTGAAAGAAAAAAAAACTGGTCAAAACTTGCCTCCATTGCCTCTTGCATCCTTGCCTCTTGCATTTCAAGTTTTAAATATAGAATGTACTACTATTGTTAAATTTTATGTAGTTGCTAACAGAATTATTATAATTTATGTAATTATTATTATTATTATTATTATTATTATTATTATTATTATTATTATTATTATTATTATTATTATAAGTAGTAGCATTAAAATAACATTTTGAAACTGTGAAATTATCTGGCTACTAAAATATTTATCTACTGTTATTAATATCCCTAATCTAACTGCACAAGTAATGTATTTCTAGGCCAATGCCCCATCTCATTAGGTTTGTTCCAGTTTCCTGTGTCCCCTTGAGCAATGCTTGAGAATGGCCCTTGTTGCTCCTGAACAGTAATTGTAAATTTCGCTCTCTCCACCCAAGGCATCATATTGACTCGTTCATTTAAACGATTCTTATTGTATATGTGACTCAATAAATATTATTATTATTATTACTATTATTATTATTATTATTATTATTATTATTATTATTATTATTGACTTTACAATTGAGGTTGAACGAATATTTGAGTTACATCCAACAGCTCAATGCTTTTTTAAATTTTTAATTATTTAAAATTAATACAAATTAATGATATTGTTAATTAAACTGGCAGTATATTAGATTTATTATTCTTTTATGATTCAAATTAAAAATTGTGAAGTAATATTTGCCAGTTATTTCTGAGGATGACCATCATTCTGCCTTAGAATGTCCTTTTTGGCTGATAATGGTATTACTTCACTTCTATTGTTTTGAAATTTTCTTTTATTATCTTGTTTGACAACCTAACAAAATAATAAGACAATAACCAAAGATTAATTAGGAATAATTTTTATTTAAATAATTGTCTAAGGAAACAAAGGGCTGAATACATGATCATTTTACATTTGGCAGAATAACTTGAACTGATGAATCTCTCTCTTAAAATTGTTATTTTCTCTATTCAAAACCTCAGCAGTGAGGGTATACAATAGGAATGTTCACTAGATGTTTTATCAATAAGTGTTAATTTTCATGATCTTGATTTGATATTTAACTCTCCTATCCCTTACTTACTATTATTTGATATTTGAGATTTATTATAATATCTAGGTATTGGGTTCCAAATAATGAGCAGAGGTGTCAAGTACAGCAAATAATAATTATTAACATAATATTTTGACATTTATTCCAAGTTTTTATTAATTTAAGTTTATCTGCAAAATATAATATGGTCATATATTGATTATTAACACACATTTAACACCCACTTTAAGTTAAAAGCTAATGAATTTTAAAAGTTAAGGAATTTTGAGAAACCAGAAAAATAATTGAAAAGGCAACTGAGGTGACCTTCGAGTATATAGAACTGGTTCATTTTCACTGAAATGGAAAGTTCATGAAAGAAAAGTACCCATTTGTTTTTTTCCTTTTTATTGAAGAGATACATTGTATTTATAACAGTTGTTTTGCAAGAAATTTAAACTCTACACTGTGAACATTGCTAAAAACTTTAATCGGTTAAGAAATAATATAAAGTGCAAAGAAATCTGGATTGTTTGAGGAAAAAGTAGAAAATTCCTCTAATGTAAATGAGGACACAGGAGTTCTTAATCCAGCAAGAAAATATTACTCTTTTTGGTAAATTATGTATTAGGCTACAACTAGAATTATTTTACAATAAAATAAATCTTTTGTTTCAGGGAAGAAAGTTGAAAAAATTGTCCATCATACCAGTACTTCAGACACAGGGGAGTTGACATCATCTGCTTCAGAAATAGTTGTGACTGCCATGCCCAAAGATTCAGCATGTTCTTATGTGTTCATGAATCCTCGGGACTTAGAAGTGAAATGTTCAATTGTGGATTTGTCAGAATCTTGTGATGACTCATCAAATTCTGAATGTATTGATGTGGAGAATTGTCATCAATCAGGAAATCCAAAGGAACTGAAGAATCAAAAACATCAGGTAAAAGAGCCTCATAATTCTGCCAGTTCAAAAATCTCAGAAAAGAAATTATTGAAACGACTTGAAATTAATCAGTTTACAAATTTTATGAAAGACTTTGATCCGGAAAAAAGCCAGAGAGAGGCTCGCAAGTTAGAAAATTTGCCATTTCCTGAGAAGAAGGAAAAAAAGAAGCCACATAACGATAATCGTCTCTATGACGAAAATGGTATTTATATAGAAACAGGAGAGGACTTATGTGACTGTTTGATTGAGGACTGTCCAGGGTGTCATTTTCCATGCCATAAATGTCGCTCCTTAAAATGTGGACATGCGTGTCGCAGAAACCGAACTTGGTGTTATGATGAGATTGAAATAGAAGGAACTGGAGTTATCATTAAAAGAAAAAAATAAGCCTGAAAATGTTTTGCGGGTTGTGAAAAGTAAATTTTATGATAGTGCGTAAATTTGAATAATATCAAATCTTAGGGGAAATTTAAAACTAAGAAATAAAATAATTTATGTGATGAAAAGATTTATAAGATTGTCTGTATTATGCTTACAGAGAGCAATGACCATGACCTGTTGTCTGTTAAGATTAATTATTGCAGGTTTTATTTTGGTGCTAAATTTCTTACTTTTTCTAAACAATTAATATATTGAATTGAAATTCAAAAGCATAAATTTTAATGAAAATTTATTGCTATCCTTTTAACCCTTAAAATTCTGGTCTTGAAAGAAATTGTTAATATTCCAATTAGTCTGGAACATCAAACAGTTGTAGGAAAAAACATAATGATCAAATGTTGATCAATTGAGATCAAATGTTGAAGTAATTATTGCCATAAATAAATATTAGGTTAATAGTTTTAATAACAGATTGTATTTCTAAGTCTCTATTTTGGTTTTCAAAGTTTTTGGACTTCCTGCTATTGTTCACTCTCACCATGTTTTACTATAAATTATTTTTTATTTATGTAGATAGCGAGCTCACATAAATACAAACTCTGATTTTGAAATCTACGGAAAGTTCCTTATTTCTATCGTTAATTACAGTCTGGCCAGGGATAGGGTTTAGATTTAAACATTCATGAAATAGAAATTGAATTCTTATCAAGCAGGATGCATCATACAGGTTTTCTTCATAATCTGTGTGATAAACTGTTAGAATGTGAACTGTTAATTATAAATATTTTAACACTTTCAACAGATTAGAATGTTGATATATTTTAACAAACTGGATATTTTTAAGTAATATTGAACTGATAATTTAAAGCTAGATCAATTTCACCATTTAATATTGTGATAAGTTGATTTATGTGATTGATTAAGTTGATATATATTTTTTTAAAATATTATTCAATTTATTTACACAAATAAATAATGAGACAGTAGAACGTTGATATAAGAGACATCTGGGACACTTTTGCTTGTTATTGGCTGGAACTATTTGCTACAATAAGTTCATATACTATTGCAGCATACTGTTCATATGCTGCTGAACAAAACCACACAAAAGGGTTTTCTAAAGGACATTTCTAAAGAAATATCTCTTAATTAAAATATCACCTTCAATGGATACAGTATTTTTCATCCAATCATGAACAGCAAATTGTCTGTATGGTGAAAAGCTCAATACAAAATACAAAACGAATAAAGATGTTCCATATTCCGTACCAAATAATGCCCAGCTCACACTGTTTCTGCTCGCCTGAACATGTTTAGGACATAAGCATGAAAGACCTCTTGGCTTAGAGCCACATGCCCTCCTCAAAACAATACCAAGAGAAAGTGGCAGCAGATTTTCACCTTTCATAGATGAGCTGGGTTATTTCTTGACATGGATGGGAGTCCCATCTTATGCAGCCTTTGTCATGGATTTTCAGAGAGAAACCAATCACTCTGTTTGCTCTATTTGGAAATTTGTTTTAACTTTTGATTCTTTCTCAGAGGGGAAATAAAAAATCTTCTGAAACACATATTCTGTCTACTTCATGCAGGAAGCTTGTAAGCCAATTTCTTATGTATGGTAAGAAATGAGTTACCCATTAAGATTGGGTACAGCCCATATTGTCTCATGAAATGGAATTCTACTGTATTATTTCCCAGACCATAAAAATGACCGCACAATGTGTATCTGTTTTCGGGTGGTACATCATGCATTATAAAATTGAACAATGTTTAAAGCATTAACAAATAAAAATGAAGGTGGAAATTAATAAAACTGAATTGTTGCTGAAATTATGTATCAAACAATTTATTCCGTAAAAGTGCTAGATCTGAAGAAAAAACCTGCTTATTGTAAAGAATTCCCATCTTAAATCAAGTTTTATTTAAAATTATTTGGAAATGAAGTTCAGATGTTGATGAAGTTTTAAGGTTGAGCATAAGGAAACAAAGCAGTTCATTGACTTCCGAATAGCTGCAAACATTTTGTGATGTTATCTTCTTGATCTTATTCCTATTACTTATATTTTATTGTTGAAAACAGCTTTAGTCATCTTCAAATATTTACATGTTTACATTTAATGTAGTTTGTGCATTTATTTATTGTTAATTCAATCCTGTTTGTGCTGGTTTTGTGAATTGTTAAATTACCAAGTATATTATAGTGTCTTCAATTGTGATGTGAAATACTGTTCTCTCATAAAAATGTGCCTTTTGTATACTGTGATATGTGTGATTGTGATGAACATTCAGTCTATAATATGTGTTAATTGGAATTCTAGAAAGATTCTTCAGATTCTTTAATTATATTTTTGTTTTGATGAATTTTATAAATATTATATATTTCTGAGTTCACAATAAAGTCATGCTTTGTATGAATGTGGTCAATTGTTATTTGAATTTTTTCTAAAACTACAAGTACTAGTTACTTTTATCATATATGTTTCCACAGAATTGAGAATCAGAACCAAATGAAAAGTAACATGGTAAGAATTTTCGACATATAGTAGATATGTGCTCAAATATATAGAAACTTGGATATCACACACATGTGATTATTGACCAGTACCTGTGTGAAAACTCTTGCATGTAGTAAACACAACTTACTTCCCACACCATGGTTAAAAGATACACTCTTGTAAGTATATGGCGAAATGATGACCTAACATATTGTTAAAAATGATCAGTAAAATGCTCTTAAAATGTGATAATAATGCCCTAAAAACAAAGAAAAATTACATAAAAAATTGAATTCAAACCACTTCAGATGACAACTCAAGATGTTGGATGTTACCAATGTAATCGAGGCTTCTTCCTTTTGTTCAAGTGAACTGAGCTTGGAAACTTTTGGTTTGGACTGTTCACTAGAAAAGCTGCCTTTATCGCGAAATCGGCCGAACCGGCAATGGTGCTGATAGGCGTCGCAGGAACCTTAAATTACATAGTACTCACAACGACTGACATTACAATATATGGACGAAGAAATCGATTAGGCTAGTCAGGAATAATGTGGTGAACATTTGTTGTATCTCGTAAATATGTTTGAAGCATGTACCATTAAAATCGATTAAATCAGTCAAAAAATGAATTCAAAATGACGTAAAAAGGTAAAAAATGACTTATTAGTGGAAATCGATGAAAAATTCACCATAAAGGACATAATGGGTCATATCCCCTTGTCATAACGTCAAATAAAGTTCTATACTAAACCGCATTGTTCTAAAGTGAAAAAAAAAAAAAAAAAAAAAAAAAAAAAAAAAAAAAAAAAAAAAAGATATTTCATTAACATCCGCCCCCTATTGATACGAGTATGAGTAACCACTTATTTAGGAAGTAAACTTGTTTGTACTCTCACTCTTTAAGCCTTTGAATCATGACGGGACTTCAAGTACTACAGTATTTTTTCGTCCATTGGTTAACGATTTTGCCCTGTAATAGAATGACTGGCCGAATCCCTTCTTACAGTTCGAATGACGCGCTGTGATCACGTATCAGCAGTGGCCGCTAGATAACAGCATTTTGTATCGGTGTGTGGGAGAAGTGGAAAATGACGGGGAGGGATTCTGGAACTCGAGAAAAACGTGCGCAGATAATCTTCTCCCCTATACGTCACATACAGTTGTTGTTTTTTACTAAATAAATCTAAATCTAAGGTCTCCCAAAGACATTGGTGACAATTCATGGAAAGAGGAGATTCTGATGTGACTGTGTCTTCCACAGGTCTCTCATATTTCTTTTGGCAAGACACAAAGCCATTGTCATTACGTTCAAATTTCCATCAACAGTAGGAAGAGAAGAACATGATGGAACAACAAAAAATGTCCAGTGTTCTTCCGCTATTGCCGACTACAACATTTTCTTGGGATGGGTCGACTTAGTCAATCATCGTGATTCCCAATACGGATTTAGACATGTCCAAAACGTGGTGGCACCGTTTTTTTGTGTCTTCTAGGCATTACATTCGTGGGTACCTGTGTAAAATTCAGAGATATTCACCATAAAAATTCCACTAAAATAACTGATGTTACATTGGGATTAATTACTCAGAAGTCATCTAAAAAGAAACAAAATGACTGATGATGTGCGCAGAACCAACTTAGGTATTCATTGGCCTGTGTATCTTAGCGAGAAGAGAGAGAAAGGAAACCCGTCCTATTTTCACCACTTACTTACCCAAACACACACTTAAAGGCACTACACTACCAAACATGTCGGGAAACCAGTCGGGACTTCAGAGCTTGTGGCATGTGGGGCGGTGCCCCGCTAGTGCGAGGTACTTTGTTGGGGAAATCCCAGATAGCCGACTTGTAGGTCAGAACCGAATCTCACCATTCAGCTGGGGAAGATCACGTACTTCTATAAGCATGCACTATACTTACGGGAATACCTACCTTAGCCGTTTTCACGCCCGGAAACACCAATCAGTCAACCAAACAGTTAAAGCAAATGGATAAATAAAAATAATATGTAATGGGCGGTTATTCAATTTATGTGTTAAAGAAGTTGGGTTACGCTTTTTTCTCTTTTTTTTCCAATTTGATGCGTCTTCAATTGACGGAACGCGTCTCCAAACCCCTTAGGGGGCGTTTAGCACTTTGTGCTTAGAGTACTCCTCCATTAATTACTTTACATTGTCATTTCCGTCACATCTCGTTTCATTCAGTTGTCAAAAGGACCGCCAGGTAGCATCTTTGCGTACGCGCCTCCTACTACGCGCTCCTGCGTCACTCAGCAGCCAGAATTGGGAAGGAATTAGGATATAGGACACTTCACAGGGGGGTTGAACTAGCCCTTGTGAAGCAGCCGAACTGATTTTGTTGGAACAAGTTTCACATTGTCCGGGAATCGAACCCGGCCATCCTTGGTGAAAGGCGTGCGACTTCGCTCTGAGTCACCAGATGACAAAGCCAAAGGAAAACAATCGCCAATTTGATATGGCCTTGCTTCGATCATGCATTTCCAACTCTGGCGAGGCGCCAACTGTTAACACAAAATAATCCTTCAGTCCTACCAAGGCAAAAGTTTCTGTGCTTTTTTCCTTCACAGTAAATATACTACTTATGTTTGACTCTTCCCTCGCTTAACTAATATAGAGTTTTACTTAAATACTTGCATTTCACACGTTTTCCAAGTATCCACATGCTTTAGCCGTTTGTAAAAAGATACTCGCGCAGGGGGAAGGGGCTCCCAGCCCCCTCCCGCTACCTGGCGCCCCCTCCAGCCAACACCGACACCAATGCGAGGCGTCCTTCCACTTCCAATTTCCCTGACAACGGGTGGCCTCAGAGCTGCTTGCTGGTCTTGATGACCGCTTGCCTGCGCGAAGCACCTGCTCCGATGGTCCGGCACTTCGTGCACCTTTCCACATCACCACTCCGCTGCCAGCCTGACAGTAACCCTGGCAACCCAACAGAGAGGTCTACCGCAGAGCAAGAAGTCGTGGATTTCAACAGATGGAGACGCCCATCTGGTTTGGTTTGAGATATTTTTGACAAAAAAAGATTAAAAGCTCTGGGTGGTGTTTGGGAGAGGAGTATAATCTTCGTACGTTTTACTTGAGCTCGAGAACCTCTTCACTACATGTTTACTATATGTAGTTCAATGATCAATAAAAGTATACTAGCAAAGCGGACATTTCAAAACCATACATCTTCACTCCCGAGTTACATAAAACTTATTTGCAACATTAAACGAACTACAGATTTTTTTTAATAATGCTAACAAAATACCAGTCCACAACCCCTGCTCTTCTCCTTCCACAATAAGCAAAAGGAGCGTACAATACGTAAAGCGTGCGCGTAGTGAAGCTACATTTATAACTAGATATAAAACCATCTCAGCTTTTGTTTACTGGATCATGGAAACTGGACGAAGAACTTGACTTAGACGGGAGCCATTGACCTAGAAGCTGAAGAACCTGACTTGTTACAAGCATTTTTTGTCTTAATTAAATAAATAAAGATACGTAGAGTTGCTCGACTCGTGTCCCTTTCCACATCATTGCTGAGCCCTTCAAAAATGTACTGATTTTATCAGATAGCCATGGTCGACAAATCCGTGTGTTTAAACCAAACGGGAGGATCCGTGTACTACATCTCCCATTATTCATTTATCAACATTTGTTGCCCCTCCTTCCTCATCTCCTGTCACTGCTGGCCCACGATACTTCCTTCGACCATGCAATCGAGGTAAAAATGTGATAAATAAATAGCCACTAATGTTAAATGCAGCAGAGAAACAGCCGTGTAGGTACATGCAAAAAAGTCAAATAATGCATCATAATAGGCAATCTCTTTCAAATAAAATCGAATTTATCGAGGTAGCATTACAATGTGATCTAAGTCAATTAATGTTTTTGGCTTTACCGGACATTGGTTGTCTCATAATGACCTAAACACACTCCAAATTCCTAGTTCTGACCTTGCCGGATCGAATTGTAGAGCGAGGGAATCAAATAAGGGCCCTGCTTACGGAGGTTCGTGTATTTACGTAAGAAATGATATTGATTCTATCTTCTCTGAATTTAATTTATATGCAGTTGAACAATTTTTTGATGTAACAGTTGTATATCTTACTACGCACAATACTATCTTACTTTCATCTGCAACTAAATGCGCTTTAGATAATTTCATTTCCTTAGAAAATGTAGAGATGACTCAACAAAATTAGTAATGCATCTTTTAAAGCCATTGTTATACACTATGTGATCAAAAGTATCCGGACATGTGACTGAAAATGACCTACCAGTTCGTGGCGCCCTCCATCGGTAATGCTGGAATTCTACAGTGTGTTGGCCCACCCTAAGCCTTGATGATAGCTTCCTCTCTCGCAGGCACACTTTCAATCAGGTGCTGGAAGGGTTCTTGGGGAATGGCGGCCCATTCTTCACGGAGTGCTGCACTGAGGAGAAGTCGGCGAGGGCGGCACGAAATCGGCGTTCCAAAACATCCCAAAAGTGTTCGGTAGGATTCAAGTCAGGGCTCAGTGCAGGCCAGTCCATTACAGGGATGTTATTGCCTTGTAACCACTCCGCCACAGGCCGTGCAGTATGAACAGGTGCTCGATCGTGTTGAAAGATGCAATCGCTATCCCCGAATTTCTCTTCAACAGTGGGAAGCAAGGTGTTTAAAACGTCAACGTAGGCCTTTAGCGTGATAGTGCCACACAAAAGAATAAGGATGCTAGTCCCCTCCATGACAAACAAGATAAAACCATAATAACATTTTGGACGTGTCCGGATACATTTAGTCACATTGTGTATGTGGAAATTTCAATGTTGGTTTTCTGAACGAATCCCATGAAAAATAGCAGTTTCACAATTTACTTAATGCAGTGAATGAACCTACACGAAGAACATTTAAATCACAAAAAAAAAAA